CCCCCCCTATAGTTCTGTAGTTGCAAATACTTTAGTGAATTTTTTATTGACTATTTTATCCTCAAAAGGTCTATTTGTCAAACAAATTCTCTTTATCTGAAGGTAAAAGATTTAAAAAAAAAATTCACTCAGGGGGTCAATCTGCAACAAGAGAACTACACCAGTCTATCCACATTGGGTGATACCACAAGGGTCTATCCGCAACCAAAAGGCAAAAGCTGAGAATATACCTTGGTAAGCGAACAAGTAAAAGGCAAATGAACTGTTTAGTAGAGCGTATAGGAAACCGTGATTGCTTGGAGCTTTGATTTGCTGAATGAGGGAAGGAAGAAAGGCAAAAACCGTGGCGAATAAACTGAGAGACTTCAGATAGTGTATTGAAAATAATCTCTTCCATTTTAAAATGACTGAGGTACTGCACCAGAAGTTGGCAACATAATCCTCGTATATTCCTCTTTCGAAGGGAGCTAATCGAGAAAGAACCTGCGTAGCATTCATAATTTTTTTTTTACCTTAGGTATCATAGAAGGTAGAACAGAAAAAAGAAAAAAAAAGTGTATTGCTGACCAACAAGGAGTCGATAATGACTTTACCTCCTTTATTGCATCCAGTGAATACAAATATGGCCACCACACAAGTGCAAATGTAGCTAAGACAACGATACCAAGTTTCATGATATGAAGGATTGGATTCTGCCGCCGAAGGCATTTCCCAAGAAGATGACTGAAAAATGCTGGTGCAAAGTACATACTCATCTGGAAAACATAAATTAATCCTATTAATAGAACGAGATAACAGACAGGGATAAGAAAATAAAATTTCTTATCCATAATTGTTTAAGTTATGAGAATTTTTCTTTCCTTCGCTCAGGTCTGCTAAGTGCCATGCCTTGTCTAAAATCAACTTTCTTCCTCATGGCTTGCTTCTTTTATAGCCAGCATAGCCAGTCATTGTTATACAACTCCTAAGGATTTTCAACAAGGTTCCATCACTTTGCCATCAAGTAGAATCACTATATATATAATTAACTTACTAGACTCAGTCTTAAGACTTTCAACGGTACTGTATCAATTTCTCCTTACTCAGGATAATCATCTAAGATGATACCACCTTTTTTATGCTGATTTATAATCAAACATCTCTCTCCCAATTGCAGTTATAGATATTTGCAGGTGAATTTAACTTCAAGAGCTACAACTAAAAATGCAGTGTGAAACTTGCCACATGCCAGAAGTTAAACCACATGAACTTTCCACAGACCACAAATAACTTTTCTAACAACAAATTGCAAGAAAACCAATTCAAGTATTCGGTTCCAAACTAGCTCTAACCCTTAGAAACTTCTCTTAATATGGATTAATCATTGAACAATGATTCATCCCACAGAACCAAATAATTCAGCATAATATCTTCAAGATGATTGAGTTTGTCATATCAGAATGCGAAGAGCACCTGCTTATGATTGATAGCAAGACTGAAGAGAACAGCAGCAAGAATCTCATTCCTCGACAAAACAGCAGCAATCGCTCCAAGTGTCAATCCAAGACTAATACAATTATACTGAAAAGAAATACTAATCAAAACCCTCACAGAAACAATCATATCAAGGGGGAAAAAACACTAAAAAAACCCCACCTGAAAATGCCCATGATCAATCAAAATCGAACAAGGGTTCAACAAAATCATCGCCAACAGCCAAGGTGAGGACTCCTCCTCCTTCCCCTTGCAGTAAACCCACACAAACCACAACACCGACGGGAAAAACACCATCAAATCCGACGTAATCACAGTCCATCTCATCATCAGCTTCCTGCATTCAGACCCCATTTGATGCGGGAAGTTAACATCAAATCCATTGTTTGGATATCTGCATTCTATTGAAGATAATGTAACTCTAAATCTAAATCCAAGGTTTGATGCGGAAAGTGTTGCACCGAAATATATTTCGGTTGTTTGCTCATTGGCAATCATAAGATGTTCATCATCTTTTCTAACTTCAAATCCACTAACTTGCTTTAAAAAATAGCATTATCAACTATGCTGCTGTTAATTAAACATGAAGACCAAAACTTGACTGCAGAATTAGACAATGTAGCTCCATATCCCGTCAACCAAACAACCCAAAAATACAAAATACTCACGATCGATACGATTCGAACCCTCTCGAAGAACCAAGCTCCACCGCCTCCGGAGCCGAGGAATTGAGTGCAAACCCATGGAAAAGACTCTGATAAGCAGTGAGAGGAGGGTAATCAAGCCCCCAGTAAGAGAGATTGTTAGCCGTAGAATTACGATACCAATCTTTAATGGGCAAATTGAGGGCGATCTCCATCCAATGGCGCTGAGCCTCGTAGTCTCCGTACATTGGCGGCGTTGACTGGCCGGAGTAAGGGCCGAGGGAGACGAGGACGCGGACGAGGAGGGAGAAGAGGAGGATTAGGGCTGTTGTTGGTGGGGTCAGGGTTTTGGTTGACCATGGGAATTCTTGGGTTAGGGTTAGGGTTTCTGGCGTTGGCCTCTGCTTCTTCTTCGCCATGGATCTCGTTTTTCTCTGAGATCTCGTGTTTGCAGTGCTGCGGAAATGTAGCTCGAGCGGGTTGGATCCGATGTTGACAATTGGGCCAGGCTTTTGGGTCGCAAGGGGCCCAAGGCAAAAGCTAACTTGAGTTTTGCCATGTTTTTAAGTAGGGATGCTTATCGTTCGGTTACGGCTAAGGTATGACACTTGTTATATCCTTATGGCTCAAAATAAGGATACTGAGTATAGATATGTCTTACTAAGAAAACTTTATATCCATAAGTGTTATATCCTCTTAATAACCTAAGTATTAATACGCCTTCTAGAGTCAACACATGTCCCATGATTGTTAAATCTTCAGTTCAGCCCCACTCTAAGGCAGGATGACTCATGCGGCATAAGCACAACCCTTCCAAACAAGACCCGATCGGGCCTGCAACTTGCGAGGCCAACTGGAAAGGCGGTACTTATTGGCCTACCCGTAGACTTTAGACGAGAAGCATCTTTACTTGGCCTACCATTCAAATTCACAGCACTCGACCCGTCCCAGCCAACAACTCACTAAGCCAACTAGAAAGGCGGTATTGGTCGGCCTCCAATAAGATGAGGCAAAAAGCGGTGTGTCCTCGAGCACCCCGCCAAACAATAGATTGCCATCACATTGAATGCATGAACATAGTCATCATGACTCCAGCCCCAAAAGTCTTTATGACTCATTGGACATCGTCAGCACCATGCTTCCCTTGTCACCATCGCATTAAATGTAGGGATGGCTCATCCCCCTCTATAGCCGATAACTGTAAAGAAAATGCTAACTAAGCCATTAGCTCAGACTCAGCTGAAGTTACTTATCTGCCCCTGTGGATCTACTATAAAAGGGAAGTGTTGCCTACTGCTAGGAAGTAAGAAAGATATGCCTTAAAAAACTATCACGTTTATCTTCCTCACTCAAGCTTTATACTAACTTGACCTTTGGAGGAACCACCAGATCCCAACTCCGACCCTTTAGTATTTTCCTTGTGCAGGATGAGACCTTCAGCTCCAAGACTAGTCGCCTGAAGAAGCTTGAGAACCCTAACCCCTCACTTAATCCGCTTATAATCTCTCTATCAGATAACTGACATCAACAGTTTGGCGCCCATTGTGGGGCCTCCATCCTTCATCGCAACAATATGACTAGTTCTGATTGCCCCGATCGATCTCTCAACCCGTTCACTAAAGAGCCGCATATGGGTTATGTCACTCAAGCCCAGTTGGAAGAATTCATTCAGAGGATTTTTCAATCATTTTAGCAGTAGTTCGATGCCTTCACCAATGAGCTCATCAGCCGATTTCCTTCCCAACAACCCTCGTTGTCATTTATTCCTCCTCCACCTTCAGCGGGACAATCGTTCATTCCTCCTCCTCCTCTCGGACTCACCGTTCAAGCCGAACAGCTAGCTCTGGAGGACTACGCTAAGTACATGTCTCCTCTACTCTGCCAGCAGACTCGCTTCCAGTTCCTCCTCAGCAGCCTCAGGTGTCATATGGAAGTGATGAGGGAAAGTGCTAGCTTTGCTCATGATGGCCGAGAGCATGCCGCACGGATAGCGTCATGCGGCCCTCGACATCCTCATGCCGCTCCAGGCCCTTCGGCCACCAACCTTGCATCTGGTTATGACCGGACCTTCCAATCTATCACCGACGCCATTAGATGGAACACTTTCCTCACCAACTGGATCATGAATGCCACATGTGACAAATTCAAGATGTCTCACATTGAGAAATATAAAGGTGAGAGGGATCCAACTGAGCATGCCCAGAATTTCTATGATAATGATGACCATGCTACAAGCATTAGAGTGAATTATTTACAAATGGTTCCCAATCACCTTGACAGGAAGCGTTAAGTTATGGTGAAACTTATTGGAAAAAAAGTCCATCAATAGCTTTGAGCATCTCAGTCAGAAGTTTGTGCATCGCTTATTGGCTAACACCAAGTAAAAGGTGCCTCCCCATGTTTTGCTACAGATGAGGCAGAAACCGGAGAAAGCTCTAGTGACTACTTCAAGAGGTTTCAATCCAAGAGGCTAGAAGTCGACGACCTAGCAACATGGTCACCATGGCTGTATTCACGACCGGGCTAGAGTTCAATGAGTTGGCTGACTCGCTCATCAAGAAATGAGTCATCAGCTATGAGCACTTGATGACCAAGGCTCATGGATACATAGATGTGAAAGATGCCTGCTCCTATAACAAGGCGGCCAGAGCAGCAGAGGTAAAAGCAGTGACAATGACGACAACGACAACAACATCAGTAGTAGTGGCCAACCCCTCTCTAAAAGAAGAGATAGAGAAGGATACCTCCAAAACCGACTCCAGGCCAAGCAGGGCCAGAGGAAAGAGGTGGCCATGAGGTTGGCCCTCACTTCCCTCAATACCATCTTATCACAAGCTCTCTATGTGGTCTAGAAGCAGGGGGTACTTGAACTCCACTCCTCCTCGTATGAAGTTGGATCCTCGCTGCTAAGATTCAAACTAGTACTATTGGTACCATAGAGATCATGTCAATCACATCGACGACTATTAAGTCCTCCAGAGGGATATTGAGGATTGATCCAGAGAGGGTACCTAAGGAAACTCATCTCTCAGCAAGACAGGAGAGACCCGTCTCTAGGAAGATCCAGCAAAAGGTCCCGCTCCAGATCGCCTCATCCCCAGCAGCAGCCAGACAAGCAGCCTACAAAGCCTAGCAGTCGAGGCATCATCAACACCATCAACAGTGGTTCAACAACCGATAGAACATTCAATAAAGCTCGAAAGAAGTATGCTAGATGAGCGTTGGACGTTAACATGTGTGACAAAAGGCCAAGGACGGATCAACCGATCTCTTTCAGCAATGCTAATTTGAAAGGCATCAAGACACTCCATGATGACCCTCTCATCATTGTTCGCGGGAAAAATCGTGTCTTTCTTCATTATTGATTCCATTGTACTCTTAAATAACAACTTTTTGAGTTACAAAGATCCGGTCTTTTTATAAGATCCGGTTACAATGAAAATCAAAGAAAATAAAATAAAGATTACAACTTTCTCCTTGTTTGTCGAACGAATCACGAGCTCCTGTTTTGCGGTCGCTCGCTTTTGTGGGTTCTTCGCCTGCGCCGGGGTTTATCCGTGGACCACCGCGCGATCTAGATCCGGTCGGATCTACGCAGTATGACGGGTATTATTTCACCAAGGAAATAATAGCCGGGGGGATTGGTTCACCAAGGAAACAATCGCCCAAATCTCGGGATCAAAGGCCAAGCTTTGATCCGGAGTACACCTGCGTAGATCTGAGATCCGGTCCTCTCGAACTCTTGCCTTATTTGGCGTTGACGATCGCCGAGCACCAGATCTGGATGAGCAAGTCCTCAAAGTCCCAAAGCTTCAATCTTTTCAGATCTAAGTCTTGAATCCAGCAGGGCTTCGCCCCCAAAAAATCCCACCTTTGAACAAATGAACCACCTCTCCTATTTATAGGCCACCTTCACTGTGCCCGCGCACAAGTGGCCGACGCACCGAGCCACCTCAAGGTTGAGACTCTGATTTGATGGTTTGATTTGGCAGTAATTTGGATTCCTGATTTGGCAGTAAATCCGCTTCTGAGTTCGAGTCCGAAATTGATCTTGATTCGATCGTGATTCGTCCGAGTCCGCTCTCGGTTGGATGACTCGTTGATTCCTCAACTCATTAGCTTGATTCTGCACGCGGGTGGATTCATTCCGTTGTTCGCGTGCGATTTGTCGATCTCGTCGCCTCGTTGGTTCGTCGGTTTGTGCCGAGCTATGCTAGGGGACCTATAAGCAATTTTATATGCCTACAGATACCCCCTCCAAAGTATTTCAGCCTCGTTCTTTTATAGAAGAGTCTGGAATACTTTGGATATGATTGTCCCAACCTTCAGTCGGTATAACGGGACTTTGGAATGGCTTCTATTCTTGATTCCTTTAATCCTTCAGGCTATTCGGTGCTTTGTCGAACGTCTGTAAGGTTCCGGTGCTGCATTTATTGTCTGACCGTTGTCGGAATTTCGAATTTGAAGTCGATTCCTGATTTTCTGTTTTTTAGCTCGTGCTTGTTGGTTCACCATAGAACTGACCCTCGAATATTGGCGTTGAGTCTTTATTTGCGACGCGTTGTACGGCGTAGTGTTGTTGAGTTATCCTTAAGAATATTTAGAAAAATATTCTCCAGGAACTTCTCAACCAAAAATAGGGAATAGTTTATACTCATATACCTTATTGGAGTATTAAGAAGCAGTTTATACTCGTATACTTTTCGGAGTAATGATTCTTTCATTGCAACGCATTGATTGGCGTTGACCTAGGGTTACGCGTTGACCGGCGTTGACCTTAGGGTTTTAAACGTCGTACGCTAACTTTTTGATCGCAACGCGTTGAATAACATTGACATAGGGTTACGCGTTGACTGGTGTTGACCCTAGGGTTTCGAATGTCGTTGGATGCTCAAGTCACGAGACCAACTAATAAAGCTGATGCGTCAGTGACTCTCGTATTTATAGGATTTTTGACAAACCCTCAGCCATCAACGGGTTTGATAAGCCTTTACCGACTACCGTTTGAGTCGGGCTAGCATGCGGATTGTCTAAATCCGTTCCGCATGTGACGTTGTGCTAAGAGAGTTAACTCTCTTAGACTTGGCGCTACGAATACGTATACGTAGACTGGTTTTCTCACGGGAATAGCCTGCCCGGCGACGCGTGTTAGGCGTTGACTTTAGGGTTTTTGGCTAACCCCCAGCCTTCAACGGATTTGATTAGCTTTTACCGACTACCGTTTGAGTCGGGCTAGCATGCGGATTGTCTAAATCCGTTCCGCATGTGACGTTGTGCTAAGAGAGTTAATTCTCTTAGACTTGGCGCTACGACTTCGAATACGTAGACTTCGCCATTGTCACGGGAATAGGCTACCCGGCAACGTGTATTAGACGCTGATTTATCCCTATTTAGGCTTCGGGATAAAATACCCCAGACTGGTATTATGGTGTCTTTTTCCACGGAAAAAGACTAAACCGGTGATGCGTGTTAGGCGTCGG